TACAGATAGAAACAAAGGGGCAAGTCCCAGGGTTAAGATGGATGACAGAAGAACACCCCCTGGGTCAGCACCACCCCAACCCATGTCCACACCCCCTGGGTCAGCACCGGCCCAACCCGTGTCCAGAGACGCCTTCGTCTCACTCACTGACCCAAACACAAAGTCCTACAACAAAGACATAGAGACATGGTCCCAGACTCGCCAGATTCCACGGGAGCTGAGTGGGAGACCATGCAAATGAGCTCAACAAATGGGAAGTTGTATGTTTGCTAGGGGGGCTCTCTCCTTCCTCCCTGAAGAATTATAGATCATGAGTTTTATTATCTTGTAGATAATAAATGACCGTGCCTTCTTTGAACCACACGTTGTTGGAATATGCCTATAGCATCCATGCTACTACAATTAAGTTTCCACCAAAAACTAACCCTCACAGTGACTAACTCTCCAGTCTCCCAGCTGTCAAAGCCCAAATCTAAATGCAAGCCTATGACCTTCCTTTGTGACACCAGCACCCGTGGCCCACCCCCACCTCAGAGCTGTCTGTAGACCGTCCCTCTCTCTTCTGAGTCCTGGAGCAGTGGGGGCTACATGTAAGGAAGGCGTAGATGGCCACGTGTAAGGAAGGCGTAGAGTGAGGTTCGGCGGTGGATAATCAATGATCCAGCTTTTCAACTTGAGGAGCAGAGCAATGCCCTTTTCTGCTAAATCCCCGCTCACCAGAGCTCAGCAGACAGCTGGCCGAGCCACGCCCTGTCCCACGGTCTGGGATCTGAGACAAACTGTCCCCTGGGTCCGGCATCTCTAACTTGCATGATGGACAGACAACTGTGGCTGAAAGAGGTGCAGACAACCGGCCCGGGAGACCCTGTTCTCTCCTTCCTCCGAAATGTCTGCAGTTAGAGTCCAACCGCTACCGTGGAAACCCACTTCCCCAGCTTCTCACGCCGCCTCACCTGGCAGTCGTGATGATAAATGGGACAGCCTCCCCATAGCTTCCGGGAGCACTCTCATTCCTACAACCAACAGGAAAAATGCCACGTGGTAGGAAGTCCTGTTGGAGGGTTGTGAGTAATTGTTGAAGGTACTTAATCCTAAGATTGTTTATTGTTTAGCCTCGAGAAACGTGAACTATAAATACGCAGTGGTGTCGACCCTGGGTCACTCCTCGTCAGGTCTGTGAGTCTGAAGCCTTGTCCCTGTCCTCCCTCCGCAGCCCTCGAGTTCTCTGGAGACGTTCTTCGATTCCCTCGTGACGCAAGCCGGGATCCCCAACGTTTTCTCCATGCAGATGTGTGGGGCGGGATTGTCCGTGGCCGGATCTGGTACCAACGGAGGTAGTCTTGTGGGTATCTTTCCGTCTGAAAGAGGCGAAAGAAACTCACAAACCACTGGGGATCTTTTTTATTTTATTTTATTTTATTAAAGACCCTGATAGAAATACTAGACATGTAGGCAAACACAGGTCTTGGAAGGGTTTGATAATCCTTATTATAGAACTTTTTTAAAAATGAATAAAATTAGCTATTATTTTTACCTTTCCTAATCGTCCTGCCATCCAAAAGATGATTCTCATGGCTCCCCCAAATTCCATTAAAGCTTTTTTAAAGTTTTCCTTTGAAAGGTAACTGGTTTTGATGGGTGAGGGAGGGGCAGGTGAGAAATAGCAGGGGGTGTGCAGGTGGGCCTCAATCTGGGGAGGGGACGCAAAGGCAGTGCCTGTGATTTCATACGTTTTGGGGCGACAAGAACACCTGTATGTCCCCCCCACCCCAATACACACACACACACACACACACACAGAGCTAAAGTGTTAGTTAGTGAAACAGAATCACTCAAGGCCATCAGCCCTGAGTGTCCCCTGATGGAACCTGCACCCTGATGTCTCAAGCAGGAGGTGACAGGTGAATGCACAGGAGGGCGCCTTCCTCAGGGTGGGTGCCGCCTACGCCTTTGCTCTCCAGCTGTGAGAAGCAGGCTCGGCCGCTTGCATTTGCTATCAGTGCAGTTGCCCTTTCCTTTTAAAATACATTTGTATTGATTTCAGAGAGGAAGGGAGAGGCAAAGCGAGAGATAGAAGCATCAACGATGAGTGAGAATCATTGATTGACTGCCTCCTACCGGGGATGGATCCCGCAACCCGGGTACATGCCCTTGACCAGAATCAAACCGGGACCCTTCAGTCCGCAGTCCAATGCTCTATCCACTGAGCCACACCGGCTAGGGCAGTGCAGCTGCTTTTAATACCTGGTTACCCCCTCTTCAGGGGAGAGGGGGGCCTAGGATTTGTGGAGCAAAGTTATGTAGTTCTGCAAAATGAAGTTTTGATTACGGAAGCTCCCTTGTGCTCTGCTTCCGAGCACTGTGTGGGGGAGGGGGGCATCCTCTCTTCCGAGGGCTAAGCCACGGTCAGGCTGGGTGGTTAACCATGTCACTGCATTTCTTTGGGGCACAGTCTGCGTACGGTGAAGCTGGAGTTACGTGTGCTTCCTGTCGGGGAGGGAAACCCCAGAGCATCTTGATTAGACGGGGCAGAGTGTTGTCTGACCTGTGGCTACTACGCTCTTAACGGTCCCTGTTCACTTTTCAAGCATATACAAGTACATTTGTTTTGTGACATCAGGCTGAAGTGAAAGTACGATTCCAATGAGGGATTGACTTACAAGGGCACGCTGCTTTGTCTCACGTGCTGTACGCCTGGGTGTTTTCTCTCTCATCCCTGTCACTATTTTCCTTCCTAGGTCCTGGGAGGAATTGAACCAAGTTTGTACAAAGGAGACATCTGGTATACCCCGATTAAGGAGGAGTGGTATTATCAGATCGAAATTCTGAAGTTGGAAGTCGGAGGCCAGAGCCTTAATCTGGACTGCAGAGAGGTACCTACCCTGTGAGCTCTTTGTGCCTACCTGTCTCTGTGTGCCCGAGGCACCTAAATATGGCAGCTGGGACCTGCATATGAAAAATCAGGAGGTACATCACACCACAAGATAAATCAAAGACTCATGACATTAAAAGTTACAGGGCCTTCAGTTGTGTGACAAGTTGAAATCGACCCCTCTCTAAAATAAGTAAAAATGTTTTTTCACCATCACTTGGCTTAATAGGAAAAAATTAGCATAACATGGTGAGTGAGGAGAAGTACCTGGAGCTACACCTTCGCCATTCCTACGGGCCTGGTGGTCCCTGACTCTGCTGAAGAGGCTGCATTATACAGATTTCATCAGTGTCAGGAACAGAGGGGGACAAAAATAAGCCGAACGAAAGCAAAAATGAATCATCAGCTTCATCTTTCCTTCAGAGTTAACCATCCCCCCCTCCCCCCGCCCTATATAATTCTCACTCAGAGGAAAGTTATGCCCTAAGGATGTGAATGGCTTGCTATGCTAAAAGGAGGCAGGTGTGCAGGGCTGCAAGACCAGAGCCATTACGAACCTGCTCACACCGCTCACGGCATGGTGGCGTATTTGTGGCACATGATGGCATCATGATTATGATGACTTGAGGGAGCCTTCGTCCGCTACGATATTCTCAGAATGGCTTATGAAAACCATCAGGATTTCATTATATCCCTTTCTCGTGCCTCCAACCTCAGCATCCCACCCTTTCATACGCCCCATCACAGTCCCCCACCAAGGCCCATGCACACAGACGCCTCTGAGAAACCCGGGAGACGGGATAGAGTAGACGGTGGTCCGTTCCACCGAGACTGCGCGTCCACCGCTCTGTGTTTAAGGTCAGAGGGCGCTTACTCGCCATGAAGGAATCCAGTGGTAGAATCCCAGGGCCTGAAATAAAATACAAACTGTGCGGATGTGTGATGCTCTGACTGAATGTGGCTCTGGTTCTCTCTCCATGGGCAGCATAAGGGAGGGTTGGCTTGTGTGAGTTGTGCGAATGCCATTTCATGTGCCATCGCACCCTCTGAGGACAAGGGGGTCTTCCCTGGTTGCGCGGGAGGCTCCCGGGCAAGGGCATTTGGGCACCTCTGCATGAGGGACAGGCTCTGCATTGGGAGGGCTGTTGATTTTGGTCACTGAGGCCCTTTTCTGGCCTCAGTTTCTTCATCTGTGAAGTGAGAATGGGCTAAAAGTTAGTTCTGAGAATATAAAATTCATTGTAACCACCAAGGAGGGGCCGTGGCTGCCCACACTTGTACATAACGGATGGCGGGCTGGTGCCGTGTCACTCACGCGCCTTCTCTCCCCTCCTTCCCCTTTCAGTATAACGCAGACAAGGCCATCGTGGACAGCGGCACCACACTGCTGCGCCTGCCCCACAAGGTGTTTGATGCGGTGGTCGAAGGCGTGGCCCGCGCGTCTCTGGTGAGTCTCAGGGCGCGGGTGAACCTCGGAGAACACCAGGTCATGACCACGTGCTGGGCAGTGTCACCCTCTATCCCAGTGATGGCGAACCTTTTGAGCTCGGCGTGTCAGCATTTTGAAAAACCCTAACTTAACTCTGGTGCCGTGTCACACATAGAAATTTTTTGATCTTTGCAACCATAATAAAACAAAGACTTATATTTTTGATGTTTACTGTATATATTTAAATGCCATTTAACAAAGAAAAATCAACCAAAAAAATGAGTTTGCGTGTCACCTCTGACACGCATGTCATAGGTTCGCCATCACTGCTCTAATGGTCTCCCTCTGAGGGTGGAAAGGTTGTGTGTTTTTTAACTATTATTAAGTTCACAATCTTATTATTTGATGTTAACTGGCAAATAATTATTTCATTTTAACCTGGGAGAACTGGGATCTGAAGGTGCAGCACCTTTTTTTGTATTTCAAATGGTGGTGTAGTTGGTGCAATACAGTTTTTTAATCTAAAAATAATTGACAATATACTACGTTAAAATAAATAGTAAACCAGGAATATGCTTGTAGCCTTTAAAACTAAAGAAATAAACCAAAAATCATACTCCTTTCAGGCCTCATTAAAGCCATGTTGGGATTTTAATTTTGTTGTAAAAGAGTGTGATTTATAGGTGACAAGGACTAGTTGGCCAATATAATAATTACTGTATGGTCACGTTCAGTAACGTAACTGAAATCGTGGTCAAAGACAAGTACCTTTTGGGGACCTGGCTGATGGTATTCCCAGGGTGACCCCAATTTTCCAGTTTGGGGCATCGGAGCGGACCAGCTGGCATGGATTGGGAAGGACACAGCTTTGGGGTGAGATGCAATTGAAGTTAGTCTGGTTTCTGGCTGTATGAGCAGGGTGCCTGGGGGAGGGTCTCGGGCCCTCTGAGAGCCCCACGTTGTCAGCGGGGTTGTGCTGAGGTCTGGGGTCCAGTGCCTGGCACCCAGGTGCTCGGGAAAGAGGAGCTGCTAGCCAGTGTCCACACTGCGGTGCTGCTACTGTGTGAATGCAAGATACACATTTCCCCCAGCTGCTTGGGTGTTTTATCATAAGCATCTGTCCATGCAGGGCCACCCAGGCTAAGTCACCAGAAATGAGTGTTTCCCACAGAGTCGTTATCCTGTTACTAACTTGGCTGGTTATCTCACCGCTCCTCGGGGATGGCCAAATTCAAAGGATGTTTGATAGGAGAAGGCACAGCAGTTGCTTTATTACAGGTGATGGCGGGAACCTGGGATGGGAGAGAGGGCTTGTCCTGAATAGAAACTTCAAAAGCCTGAAACTGCCATGGGGCCCTGGCCGGTGTGGCCCAGTGGTAGAGCATTGACCTGTGAACTGAAGGGTATTCCCGGTCAAGGGCACATACCTGGGTTACAAGTTCATTCCCTGGCCCCAGTTGGGGCGCATGCGGGAGGCAACCAATCGATGTCTCTGACATTGATGTTTGTCTCTCTCTCCCCCTCCCTCCCTCCTACTCTCCCTAATAATCAATGGGAAAAATTTCCTCGGGTAAGGATTAATGGTAGGTAGATAGATAGATAGATAGATAGATAGGTAGATAGATAGGATTAATGTTAGATAGATAGGATTATTGATAGATAGATAGACAATAGATAGGATAGATAGATAGATAGGATTAATGGTAGATAGATAGATAGATAGATAGATAGGATTAATGATAGATAGATAGGATTATTGATAGATAGATAGACAGACAGACAGACATAAAACTGCCCTGGGAAGAACAGCAGGCAAACAAAAAGAATGCAGAGGGGAAATAAAAAAGCAAGAACGCGGAGACCCTTTTGGAACTGAAAGGTCTTCAAGGCGGCAGCCCAGAGCCGTCTAATATCCACTAAATCAGATGAGAAACGGTGGTGAAGTTTTAGAGCCTGACATTCAGAATGCTGGCGGCAGATCAGACCAGGCCCGATGCTCGAATTACGGAGCCATCTGCCCATTTCCCCCAACAGTGAAAATGTCCGCAGCAGAGTCCGCACGAGCCTGGTCAGGTGTAATGCTCTGAGCTGTGAACTATGAGCGCTTCCCCTGGGCCAAGGAGGTGCCCGGAGCCCGGGCGTGTGCCTGACGCCAGCAGATCCTCTGTGGGCCAGGCCGTGAGAGCGCGGGGCTGTGGCTGGCAGGTGTCGGCACCCCGCGGTCATCGGATCACGCGTTGGGCAGTGCCTGGCTTTGTAGGAAAACCACGAGGTGGAGGAAGGCAGTTACGAGGTTGTTTGCCTTGTCGCCCCGGATCCTGTGAACCGGATCCCGTGAACCGGAGCCTGCGTCAGGAGGGGCAACCTGGGAAGGCTGTTTGCCTGGGCAGGGTGTGCGCTCTCTGCGGGCCTTTGTTTGCGCACCAAAGGCGCGTTTGTTCTCTCTGGGCCGGGCCCCGGGAGCCGCTCCGGCCTGGTCTTCTTTCGGGTCAGGGAGAGGCTGGCCTCGGAGAGCGAACACAGGACGGACGTTGGGTTTGGCTCCTGCGTGGACTGTCGCCTTGGATTTTAGAAACGCATGGTGGGTGGGTGTGTATTCTGAAATGAGCCCGGTGGGGTTGGTGTGTGGCCGAGCCTGGGCGCCGCTCCTGCCCAGCTGTGGCGCCCTGCGTCTCAGGCCGCGTGCCTCTGCACCTCGAAAACGCACAAGCAGAGGACCCTGCTTCCGGATGACCTCTGGCATTAGAGCTCTGCGACCTGAGGCCTGAACCCCCACGTGGCTTAGCCCCCAAGGCTTTCCGACTCCTTTGGAGGCAGATGGTCCCGGAGCTAGTTCTGAGCTGGGCTCCTCAGGCCAGCTACTTGGCCTCTCTGAGCTGCATTCGCCATCTGTGGCCGGACCTGCTCTTAGTGCTGACGTTAGAGCTGGGGGCCGTGGGGCAGCCCAGCCACCCTTTCCAGCACAATGACTGCCCCACCTCATCGTCTGGCAAGAGGTTCGTCCCTGGGATGCCCATTTCCAATCAACTTCCCTTTTCTCAAAGGAGAAGCTGCATTAAAGCCCGCATTAGAGGTCTCGCAGGTCACTCCTGGGCGGTCCAGGGGGCAGCCTTGATGGATGGAGAGACACAGGGTATTTCCTCGCTCTGTTCCCAGCGGGAGGGAGGGCTGGCGCCTGTGTGTGCGGGTGTGTAGCACGGGACACACCCGGTTCATGCTGTCCCGCCGCAGTGTCCTCTGTACCTGCCCACGTGTTCTCCACGGCAGCGTGCTTGCTGCCTCGGCTTCCATCACACCCTCCTCCCGGCACCTCTTCCCAGCCCTGGGCCCTCTTGGGGGGTCTCTCTCCCTGCCCATTTCTCTGGGTGGGTCCTAGGCCCCGCTCCTCCCTATACTGTCCTCAGTGGTCTGTCCACGGCCACATCACCGCGTCCCACCCTCCTGTCAGGACTCTGGAATTCAGCGTCTCGCCCTGGCTCGGCCCCCAGAGTCTGGACTCCGGCAACAAGTGACCTGCACGTCCCACTCAATGACACCGGTGTGCCATGGAGCCCAGGCCTCTGAGAAATGATTTCTGATAAATGCACAGGGGTGCCCTGGTCCTGTCCTTGCCTGTCTCATGCGCCCTCCTGTCCTCTGCACAAGCCTCCGTGGCTGTCGTCCGCGTCCCCAGCGCTCTCATCTGCCCTCCCCACCACCACCACCACCATACCTCACCAACACCCTTTCGCCCTTTCGCCCCTCAACTCAGCCCAGGTGTTCCTACCTCAGGGACAAACACCCACCTTCCTCCCTGTCAATACTCTCCTAGCTCTGTGCCCACCGCATACGCCCCCAGCTAACGCCCGAGCAGGGCTCTGTGCTGGAAGGGGCACACGTGGTAGCCGGAGAGCCTCCCACACAGTCCTCCCTTGGGGAGCCGGCAGGCCCAGGGCAGGCCTGCTCTGGTGCCTTCGCTGGTCCTGGCGAGATGGCGTGGCTGGAACTTGTCATTCACTTAAAGATTCAGCAACTAGTAGACATGCTTGGGTGACTGTCCTTCCAGTCCCCTGACAAGAGGCACAGGGGGACGTTCTGTGTTCCCGCCCATTCATATTTCCCACAATCTTTCCTGAATCTCTCTGATGGGCTAGGTGTTAGGACCAGAAGTGGATGCAGACAGCAGGCCTCTGTCCTTAGAGGGCTCAGATCCTAGTGCAGGAAACAGAAGTGAACCAAACACAGTAAATGTCAAGCTAACTGCTACGGGGGATACCCAGTGGAGGACCAGCATTATGTGGGGGAGTCAGGGAGGGCTTCCTGGAGAAGGCATCGTCTGAGCTGAGATCTGGAGAGGAGAAGGATGTTCCAGAAGAGCGGAGGGCTCACAAGGGGCTCTGCACCTGGGGGAAGCTCGCTGGGAATTCAAAGGAGAGGTGATGCCTGAAAGGTCCTGAGGGCCACATTTAGGATCTGGCCTCTCTTTTAAAGGGTCATTGCTAACTACTGTGTTACCTTGGGCAAGCCGCTTCACCTCTCTGTGCTTTGGTTTCCTCATCTGTGAAGTAGAGGGGGTAATGTTACCGCACTGATGGCGGTGTTTGAGGATTGATGTAATTATGACTGCAAAGCGCTTATAAAGGTGCCTAATGCTGGCGAGTGCTCCGCAAGCCTCAGTGTTTTAATAATTGTTATTTGTCAGCACCGTTACCCCCCAGAGGACTGATGGCTCCGCTGCGCTGTCCAAATTAAACCCTGTTTATCCCCGTGGGCATCTGGCGAGGCAACAAGAAAAGCCGGGAGCTGTTTCCTGTTGACGTGCCAGACTAGTCATTAGTTCTCACGTTACCGTGTTTTGTCTAGATTCCAGAATTCTCGGATGGTTTCTGGACTGGATCCCAGCTGGCATGCTGGGCAAATTCCGAAACACCTTGGTCTTACTTCCCGAAAATCTCCATCTACCTGAGAGAGGAGAACTCCAGCAGATCCTTCCGCATCACTATCCTGCCTCAGGTATGAGCTTGGATTTGGGCTTTTCTCTCTTCAGCGTGTAACATGCAAAAGTAAAGCCCTTCATGCATAATATCTGATCATCGATACCTAACACAGGCATGGGTATACAGTGGTGCCGAGTGACAAACAGCCACGAATAGCAGCAGCTTTATCAGTGAGCGTTAATTCCTGCCCAGGAGCCTGGGTGGGTCTGCTGATCTCCTGGGCTTGCTCACCTGTGTCTGGTCAGCTGGTGTTGGCTGGGTCTAGGTTGGCTTTAGTCTAGGATGGTCTTGGTCTAGGTTGGCCTTGGTATAGGATGGTCTTGATCTATGTTAGCCTTAGTCTAGGACTGTGATGGTGAATCTATGACACACGTGTCAGAGGTGACACGCAAACTCATTTTTTTGGTTGATTTTTCTTTGTTAAATGGTATTTAAATATATAAAATAAATATCAAAAACATAAATCTTTGTTTTACTATGGTTGCAGATATCAAAAAATTTCTATATGTGGCACAGCACCAGAGTCAAGTTAGGGTTTTTCAAAATGCTGACACACTGAGCTCAAAAAGTTCGCCATCACTGGTCTAGGATGGTCTTGGTCTAGGTTGGCCTTGGTCTAGGTTGGCCTTGGTTTAGGATGGTCTTGGTCTGGGGTCTGGGATGGCCTCATTTACTCTGGTGGCTAGGTCAGTGGCGTGATAGGGCTGTTTGTTGTCTCACCATCCAGTGGTGACTCATGCAGTGGTTTCTTCTTCTGAGAGAGAAGAAACTCAAGGACTCGTGGAGTCTGGGCCCAGAGCTAGCCACCCTCTCCTGCACGGTGCTGTCCACACAAGGCCAAGTCCAGCCCAGACTCCCGGGTGGAGAAGTAGACACCGCCTCCCAATGGGAGGAGCTGAAAAGTCACATCACAAGGGGTGGCTACAAGGAAAGGTCAAGAACTGAGGACATTTTTGCCACATCTACAACAATACCAGTGGATGGGTTTTCCCTACTTATTTATAAATAAAGAATAAAACTGGATTCTCAGAGATTAAGACATCATTCCCCCATCATATGCAATAAAGCATTGATTCCTTCTTCAACCCAGGCATCTAATTAAATAGACCAACTTCTGTCTTCCTTAGTCATGTTCTTGCCTCTTCCCACAGCTCTCACTATGTCACTCACACCCACTTCCATCACCTCAGGAGCCTCCAGCGTGTCCTCCAGGCATCCATGTCACCACTATGTTTCCCTTTACAACTATTCCAGGTCACTGTTCCTGAAGCGCAGCTTTCAGTGCCACTATTTACGTGCTGATGGTCTCTTCCCCTGGTGTGGCCTTCCAGGACCTCCTGGCTGGGCCCTTCCTTGCTTTCCTGCCTATTTCCTGCTGCACCCTTGACCCTCCACTGATTGGTGACTGTGCCTGCTCCGACTCCTAACCTTCGCTTTCACCACTCCCCACCCCTTGCCACTCCCCGCCCCTCGCCTGAAATGCCCTCTGGTCCCCACTCCATCTGTGTATCTAAATTCTTCCCATCCTCGAAGACCCGACTCAAACAACCCATCTGTTGTCGAACCGCTGCTGAGCAGAATAACCCATTTGTGAGCTTGCCCTTCAAACCCATAATGCGAGTTTTCCAGGCTACTCACCGGGCATGGGGCCAGGTCTTTAGGGTGTATATTATGCCGTTGCCTTTTTTCCTTTGACCTCTGTTTTCTGAAAAAACACACACACTTCTGTTTCTTTCTCAATTATTTCCTTGAAGATGAGAACCATGAGTTTTGAAGACCACCCTCCCTTCCCCAACCCTGCCATGCGGTGGAGGGTAGGGCCCTGTAACTGTTAAATGGCTAAGCCCTTGTGTCTTTGCCATATAATCTGGTGAATCTGAGATAAAGGAGTGTGGCTGGGAGGTAGGAAAGGGGGAATAATTTCAGAAGAAAGAAGTAAGTGATAATACTGCCTTGTCCCATTTTCAACTTTACACAGTGGGAGCGGGTGGCATTCCAGAAATGGGCACTTGTTGGGGAAAAGACTGAAATACAGCCGGGCAGAGGGCACTGCCCTGAACGTACTCGCCCTGCCTGTGTCTGCCTCTTTAACTATGAAGGAGAAATAGTAGTACTTTCGGTGGCATTTTCCATTTTCAGAAGACGGCCATGTCCTTGGATGAACGGCACTGCAGAGAGTGATGTGTTTGGACTGTGTTTTCAGCATCTTTAAAATAATGTACTCTTTCTGATTATATTTCGGCCTGCTGACCGCCAAACGTGGACATTATTTCATCAATGTGGTTTGTAACTAAAGTTAAAGCCTAGCTTGAGGACACAGGTGGACGTGTTCTGGCAAATAAACGGCATGTGGGTGGTTGGCAGAGGCAGGGACTCAAAAGAAGCAGGAGGAAAAAGTAGGCCATCAGGGAAAAACCCGTTATGTCCAGGACAGGTAATAGCCGGCACGGGGTGAGTGTGGGGACAGAGGAGGCAGGTTGGAGAGGCAGCATCCATGTGGGTACCTCTGAGTAAGAATCCAGTCTTATTCTCACTTAGGAGTTGGTAGATTTTTGGGGGGTTGACTTTGACATGTTGACATTTCTGATTTTTAAAAACCGACATTCCCCATTGTTTTTCTGAGTTTTTATTCAACATCACCATGTTTGCTTTCCGGTGCCTGCTGGGAAGGATGTGGATGGGCGGTTGGAACCATCCCCTGCTGAGAACCACACACACTCCAGATGCTGACCACACCCCTCAAGGTCGCACTGGGGTCATCTAACACCTCAGCTCTGCCTGCCCAACCCCTTTCCTAACATTCAGGGCAATCACAGGGCTCCTTGTCGCCACAGTATTAGACTGGGGTCCCTGCCTGGGCCCTTTCAGCACCAGCAGTCAGAGCTAGGCGAGCAGTCAGAGCAGGAGAGTCCGATTTGTCAACAACACCATTTTCCAAACACACAAGAGCTGAATTCTATTTGGCCTGTTCAAAAATCAATTTCCGGCTCTCAGACAAATTCTGATTTTTTTTTCACATAACCCTGTACGTGTAAATAGTTTTCAGTCTTGGTGCCACTGGTTTGCCCGTTTGTACTCAGTTTAAGGCAGACAGTTTCTTCTGAGATCCAGAAATACCGCAGCTTTCCCAACATGTGACAAATCTGCAGTCTGGAATTTTTATTGGGAGTCGACTGGGACCCACAGAAAGGCCAGAGGAAAAGATACAAATTCTGTTCGCATCAGTATCATCAGTTGCATCATACTTGCATTATGGAATTAGTTCATTCAAAGGTAGGTGTGTGTGTATGTGTGTCTGTGTGTGTGTCTGTTTCTGTGACAGCTAAGCCCCCCCCACACACACACCTTTTCTTAATTTAACACTGATCAAAGCTTAGCCCCACTCATTCATTTGACACGCATTTATTGAGGTCTTCCTATATGCCTGGCATATACTGGGTGCCTAGGCGCTGGGCACACAGGGAGGAATAGAATGATGCCTGGCCTGGAAGAAGGGTTTGCAGACAGACAGACCACTCAGTGCAGGGTTCTATCTGCCGGAACTGCTGCCTGGACACAGCAGCTGCTCGATGCCCAGCAGTCGGTGACTCCAGGCACTGCCACCATGTGTCCTCGCTCCCCTCTCTGCCTTGCAGCCCCTCTCCCTCTCATCTGCCCTGCAGGTGAAGTACAGTGACGTTCACTGTCCTCAGGGTCAGTTTGATCACTTATGTTTTCACCAGCACAACTTCTGGCTTCCTTTTCTGTTCGCATTTTAAATACTGTTCTTGTGCCCACCAATCCAAAAGACCCACGCTCGTCCCAGTCTGCCTCCTCCTCCACCTCCATCAATCATCATACGGAAGCCCCTCCCACTGGTCTCCTTTCAATCTTTGCTCATCCCTCCAAAGCCCCTCCCTCTCACATCCTACAGGGCCTGAGACTGCCTGTCTATGAGTAGTGCCTTGTTCCTCCAAGTTTTTCTTAGGCTTTCATCCTTCAGGGCAAAGTCCTCCTCACTATTTTGTGCTTTATTGCTTTCCTCCCTCCCCCAAATATTTGTCATGTCATACCAAGCCATTCTCTCTTCTTAACTTTTAATACTTTTCCATTAAAAAGCAGAGGAATTGTTACTAATATGATATTGATTGGCTCACTGATTGTTTTAAGATTTAACTCATGTCCCCAGTAACTCTTGCCTCCTGGGGGCCTCAGGACATGGGCCTCACACCTGTCAGAACTTCTTATCCGTGGATGCCGTGTCTCCTCTCTGATTGTGATGGTTTTCCCCTCTCACACTGAGGGAATCATCCTACCTGTGCCTGCTGACTCTTTCTTAGAAGACACCATCGCTTTGGAAAGGAGGTATCCTGGAGCCAGTTAGGAACCTTTGCAGTACTAGATCAGGACAGAAGGGGCCAGTGATGACCTGGACCAGGGTGGTGGTGATGGAGATGGGAGAAGTGATCAGATTCAGGTTCTGCCTCAAAGGAAGGCTGCAGGCGCTGTGTGCGGTTTCCATGGGAGGTCAGCGATACTGACCTGAGCTCTGGGTCCTGAGTGAAGGCTGCGTGTGGATTTACTGAGACAGAGAGCCTTGAGATGAGCAGATCAGGGCAATAGTCCAAGTTCAGTGTCATTTTCTTACTGGTACATTTGAGAGGCCAACTGAGCGATGAGTGGGTGGGCAGGTGGACAGAAGCGTGTGGCAGTGGCAGCAGAGATCCGGGTTGGACATAAAGATTTGGGAGTCTCGGCATAAGCACAGGGGATGTACTGAGGGCCATGGGGCTGCATGAGCCACCTGGGAGGAAAGAGAGAGAGGAAGCCAGAGCTCCGCAGTTCTCGGATACTGACAGGCGAGGAAGGTGAAGCAAATCCAGTACAGGTGCCTGCGGGGGAGTAGCCAGTGAGTTAGGAGGAGGAAGAGAGGACCCTCTCTTAGAGATGAAGGGAAGAGAGTTTTGACGAGAGAACTAGTAGGTCAACATTATCAGTAGAAGGGACCTGTTGGAACACTTCTGACTCAATATTTACTTACCTGTCTCCCCCTTAGATGGGAAGCTTGGCTGGGACAAGAACCATGTGTTCTTCGTCCTTATAGTGCTGGTACCAAGGGCAGTGTCTAGGCTCAAAAAATAACTGGTTGGCAGATGGTTGAATAGATGGAAGGACAGATGGATAGATGAATAGGTGGGTGGGTGGATGGATGGATGGATGGGCAAACAGACGGATGGATGGCTAGATGGATGGATGGATGGATGGATGGGCAAACAGACGGATGGATGGCTAGATGGTTGGATGGATGGATGGATGGGCAAACAGACAGATGGATGGCTAGATGTATGGATGACTTGGTGAATGGATGACTTAATAGATAGGTGGATGGAAGTCTGCTTATGGTTGTCCCTGTGTACTGTTACAGGTGGTGTACATGTTCCTGTCACTCTGACTAATGTTTATCACCACCATGCTTATGATTTCAGCTCCTAGATCTGTAGCGCCCCATGGCATCTTGGGGAGTTCTGAGCCCCTATGACCATGACAGTTGTGTGATGTTGACTGATTTGTGCTTTTTCTTGCTTGTTTCCTCTTTCCTCTTAAACAACAGCTTTACATTCAGCCCATGATGAGGGCTGGCCTGAATTATGAGTGCTACCGATTCGGCATTTCACCTTCCACGAACGCGCTGGTGATTGGTGCTACCGTGATGGAGGGCTTCTACGTGATCTTCGACCGAGCTCGGAAGAGGGTGGGCTTCGCCGCCAGCACCTGTGCAGGTGAGCGATGCTGGCGTCGGACAGGGAGCCCTGCCGCCAGAGCTTCTGTCCGTTCACTCACTGGGGAGCACTTCTCGACAAGTCAGTTGTGTTGAATTCACCCACTCATGCCTGTAATCGTGATCAAAGTCTTGTTGGTAAAATGCACGGGGGTTTGCTGAGAGGAAAAAGCGAGTTCACCCACGTAAGACTCTCAGTGCCGTTCTTGGCACGTGGAACAGGCTAGTAAGTGTTGGCCTTCCTGTTCCCCCTCATATTAAACTCGCGTGGGCACCTCATCCCAGGAATAAAAATACTCCAAGGGGCCTGGGGGTGGAACGTCAGTGTTTGACAGTGAAAGGACTAAAACAGAAAATTCACAGATAAACTATGTATATTGTTTCCTCAAAGAAATCCTATAAAATAAGAAATCACTGCTTGTCACAGCTATTTCTCAAAAACCTAAAATAATGAGACCAAGGAGCCCGTTTTCCTGACAGAAGTCCTTTGTGAGACGGCAGGATGGTGACAGGCAGCACTGTTCTGCGAAGCCTGGCTTGAGTCTTAGCCAGACCTACGGAGAAGCCACTAGAGCACAGTCAAGTTGATAGGATGGTGACACTCCTTAAACTTGAAAATGTCTTCAGAGTTGACAGTAGGCTTGAGATGGAGTGTCCCCACCGCACACGGGTACTCACGACTAACAGCCGAGCTGGTAAGGAAAAGGCAAGTCATGGATGGAGAGCGGGAGACAGTGGAGGAAGTGCGTGCCCCAGGAAGTGTGTGTCAGGCCACCGTGTCTCCAGTCGGGTGTCAGAGGACTGAAAAGGTCTGGGGCATCGGTCAGGGTCAGGAACAGAATGAATGATGTGCTCAGGGATAGAACAACTAAGCAAATATGAGGTGGAAAAACGAACTAATGACAGGAGGTGGAGCAGAAGAAAAGTGGGGTGATAGTGAAATACACGATCACCATGTAGTGGAGGAAAGGAAACAGGAATTTGATGAAAGAAAGCCTTAAACTTGAGACATAGTTGTAGGACAGGCAGGAACGCTAACCAACCAGACCTACACTCTGATCTACAATTAACCAGAGTTTGCCTGGCTGGTGTGGCTCAGTGGTTGAATATTGACCTATGAACCAGGAAGTCGCAGTTCAATTCCCAATCAGGGCACATGCCCGGGTTGTGAGCTCGATCCCCAGTAGCGGGTGTGCAGGAGGCAGGTGATTGATTCTCTCTCATCATTGATGTTTCTAAAAATTTTCATAAAAATATTTTTAAAACAACAAAAATTAAAAATAAAGTTAACCAGAGTTTGGGGGAGAGTCATGGAGAGGAGAGTGGGCGGGAACTCCAGTCACGGCTGATTTGTTGAGGAGGGAGAGATTCCAGCTGCCGCAGCCGTGATCTCAAAGTGGGAGTCCTGGGAAATACAGTTGGCAAGCGATGCGTCATATTCTTGTCCCAGCGCACTGCCATCCCCACAAAGTAAAGGAATGTGGAGAACAGGAGAGGAACGTGAGAAGGGAAAATTACCTCTGGAATCCTTAGGCCAGTTCCCATTCTGCATAAATAGAATCCCCCATCCATGAAGGCATGGGCGGAGCTGTGATGTACCTTCTTAACTGTCAGCGCAGAGTTCTTCGACTTGTCTGTGTGACCAGACTCAGGGGCTGGAGACCTGTCATTTCTGAATCTTGGTCATGAGCAAAGGTGACCCTTTCAGACGGGCGCTAACTCTTCCAGCCCGTTTGCTGTCCACTAAGGGGGTCCTCTCTCCCTGCGTTCCCTGGGGCCGCACAACCTAAAACACCGTGTCTCCCAACTGTGGGCGTTTTACTTCTTTAAAACCAGGGAATATAAGAACCAAAGCAGTTTCCCCACAAATCCTGTTCCCTGGTTAAACGCCACCGAAGTAGATCGAGGCTGCTATGGCAACAGCCGTTACATCGTCCACTTTAGTGGCTGCTGCGGAGACCGCCATCCCGTCTGCTGCTGCGGGCAGTGCTGTGGGCACAGCTAACACGAAGCCTGTCTAGGCAGAGACGTTTTCCTGCGAGCCATCCTGAATTCCTGGTCAGGTGTTTGTATTGAAGTTTGGTTCTGCTGTTTGTGGAAAATATATCTAAGGTGTGGGCACTTAGCCCTTCGATTTTAGCTGCGGTGGGAATGCACACTGAGTCTCCTCTTCGGTGCAAATCGCTTAGCCATTAAAGTAATGGCTCCCCTCAGGGCTGCAGTTAGGAGCCAGGCATGGTCTGTGGCACCGTAATAAACGGAATGAAGTGCTGCCTTTTGTTCTATTTCAAGTGTTTATTTACAACATTTTTTCAATCTTTTTATTTATTTACTTTAATATGTTTTTATTGATTTGAGAGTGAAAGGAAGGGAGAAAGAGAAACATCGATGAGAGAAACATTCATCTTTTTTCTCCCATACATGCCCCAAGTGGGGATTGAGCCCACAACCTGGGCATGTGCCCTGACCGGGAATCGGACCGGTGACCTTTCGGTGCACAGGACGACACTCAACCAACTGAGCTATACCAGCCAGGGCTAAAACATGTTTTTTGTGTTGTTTTTTTAAAATATATTTTATTGATTCTTTACAGAGAGGAAGGGAAAGGGATAGAGAGTTAGAAACATCGATGAGAGAGAAACATCGATCAGCGGCCTCCTGCACACTCCCCACTGGGTATGTGCCTGCAACCAAGGTACATGCCCTTGACTGGAATCGAACCTGGGACCCCTGAGTCCGCAGGCCGATGCTCTATCCACTGAGCCAAACCGGTTAGGTCTAAAACATGTTTTAAGTAACAAAGAAAATGCTTGAAATCACAGAAAATCGTGTACTTACTGAACACCCAGATATAACAAATGCTATCATTTTGTCATCCTCAAAAATTAGTTATAGAAATAATTTTTAAAAAAAAAGTATAGCTAAAGCCCCACCTCACTGCACTCCCCAGAGTCACCCCTTATCCTGAAGCTGGTGTATATTCTCATAATTTCACTGCATCGCTACAAGTACCCTGGACTGTTATCTATTGCTATGCAACAACTTGCCCCCCAGTGTAGCCGCACTTAACGAGCCTGTGCGGAGGGAGGGTGGGGAATGAAGGGGTGAGGGACTGAGCGGGGCAGTTCTGGTCCAGGGTCTCCCCTAAGGCTGCAGCACCTGAAGGCTGGAGGGTCCCCTTCCAAGTTCCGTCATGTGGTTGCCAGGGCCCCTCCATTCCTTGCCATGCGGACTTTGCTACAGGCCTATCTGAATGTCCCCACGATGGGTTCCTGGTCACCCCAGAACAAGTGATCCCAGAGAGAGTGTGCAACACAGCACCTAAGACAGAAGCCACAGTCATTCTGTAAACTCATCTTGGAAGTGACATGGTGTCACTCCTGCCCTGTTCCTTGGGTAGATGGGGGAGGGGGTGCACTAGAGTAAACACCAGGAAGCGGAGTCATTGAAGGTCATCCTAGAAGCTGGCCATCATATACCTATAAGCAGTGTTTACAACAAAACACAAGTTGGCCGTTGGGTTTCTTGGTATTTCTTAATTTACACGATTGCTGCTGTATGGTGGATGTCCTTTGTCAACTTGCGTTACTGTTCACCATTACTTTTCCTAGGTTCCCCATGTTCCTATGAGTCCTAGGTCGTTCATTCTGACCGCTGTATAGTATTCCACTGCGTGAGTATACCCAGATCTCTTACCCAGTGCCGCCTTCATTCACATCTGGTGGTTTCTAACGTTTGCGAGTATAAGCAATACTTTGGTGATCCTCTTGTGCACGCAGATGAGATCTGGAAGTGGAATTTCTAAGTGATTTGGTGTGCCGGGCGTCAGCATTACTGGCGACTGTCAAATTGGTCTTCGAAGTAGCTGGACCACCAGAATTATACCAGAATTTCCATCCCGTCAAAGTATTATCGTAGTTGTTTTGCTTTTTGCCAATCTGTGTGAAATAGTGTCATATTTTATTGATTACATCTGAGATGACGTACCTTTTGATCTGCTTATGGGATGTTTGAGCTTTTTCTCAGGCGGTGAATTTTTCTATTCACAGCTTTTGCATGGATTTCTACTTTTTTATTGACATATGAATTCTTTCTCTATTTGAGATTAATTTTTCTGGCCTGTGTGCATGGTGAATCTCTTCTGATCTCTCTAGCCTTTATTGTGTGTGCTTGTTTTTGGTGTCTTTTATTTACATTTTTTCTTAAATTTAGTGAAATAAGATTTACTAATCTTTCTTATGGTTTTACTCTGCTCTTATTTAAGAAATTGTTCCTTAATCTAAGAAAATAGAGTTGTTGTTTTTAAAGATACTATATACTTTCTAAATTTTTTCTTCTAACATGTGAAATAGGAATCTAATTCTTATAAGGATATTCAGTTTTCTCAGCAGCATTTACTGAATATACAGTTTCCCCTCCAATTCCTCTCAATATTTTATTATGAAAAATTTTAATATATATATTGGCCATTCTTTCTTCAGCCGTGTTCACTCTGTTTAACCCATTCAGTGAGTTTTTAATTGCATCGACTATATTTTTCATTCTAGAAATACTATTTTGCACTTTTTCAACCCCACTAGCTCAGTTTTTGTAGTGCTCTATAATTTGTTGTGGCTTCTATTTCCTTTATCTCCGTTATCATTTTTAATTTAATTTGAAAAGTTGGCTAGGTAATATTCAAAAGCTACAATGAATCATGCAGTGCCCCACTCAGGGACAATCATATGAGTGCATAAGGGCCTCCCTCATGATTATTTTTTCAGCCTTCTGATCTTCTGGTATGTGGATGTTCCCTAATCTATTTGACCAATCATTATTTGTAGACATTTAGGTTGTTCCCAATCTTTTGTTGTTAGAAACAGTGGATACCATTTATATATGTCTGCTCACACACGGGAGTGTACCTCTCGGTGAGAGGATTAGCGTAGAGTTGCTGGGAAAGGGGATTCATTTGTAACCGTGATGAATGTTGTCCTGTGGCTGTGGTAGAGAGATGCTCCT